TCTTCAGGTGGACATTAACATCCCGTGGCACCACTTGAAAACAGAACGTACTTTCTTCCAGTGACCTAGCCAATCCCGCCCCCCTCTATAGATCATGAAAATTGATCATGGCTATAGGATATTGTTGTACACAAATTGCCAGCCAGTATAACATGATAAGATGCTGTATCAAATACAGAGTGATGATGATTATTATCATTATTATAGGGTATTTAATGAAGATAAAGAGCAAAGGGCCAGAAAAGCAGGATTTTTTTTTGCCCCCAGATAGCTTTTAGGATGTGAAATGTTCTACCCAGTACTGTGATCAAGGCAGAATCTATGTTAGTTTTCAAGATAGATGCCTAAAATGGAGTAATAGCTAAAATGGAGTAATTTACAGGTTGTCGATAAGACAGACAAGACTAAATGATCTTTCACGGATCCAGAAGTGATGGGTTCAATGGCCTTCTCCTGTGCTGTAAATTTCTATGGTTCTGTCATAAATCTTTTGTTGCATAGATACAGCTGAATATAGTATATGACAGTACATTGAACTGTGTCCTTTCAGCCCTCAGTACGCCTCCTCTGAGATGTCAGAGCTAAGAATTAAACGTTTTTCTGGGCACACTTTACTCCTGCTGACAATTAGGCTGTAAATTGTGTCTATTGTTGTTTGCTTGAGTTGGTTTATGTGAAGATTATTTGGTCAAGCAACAATTAGCTTATTTAAATCGCCGAACCTACGAATGATACCTATTTCTCTGATGTGCTGTAAGTTTGTTTGGGATTGATACTATTGGGACAGAATTGTCAGATTCCAGCTGCCTGTGAGTGTGAAGTTAGTGATGTTGGAGCATAATTTGTAACTCCTGGGAAGTGTGTTGGCAACAGGCTTTCAAAAGTGTTGCTAATTGAATGCATCTCAAGAAAACATAGTACACAAGAACTCCTGCATTCTGGTGTGAGAAACAGGAGTTAAAGTGTGTTGTTGAACGGTAACTCATTTTATTTGCATGTCAGGAGCTTGTGTGGCAAATTAATTTTTAATGCAGACAAATCAAGGTTATACATTTTTGGAGGAAGAATAAGAAGAGCAAGTATGTATTAAGTAATCAAGTAATAAAAAAAGTGGGAGAGCAAAGAGACTTGGAAATTAACATGCATATATCCTTAAAGGTGGGAAAGCAGGTGGACAAGCTGTCAAAAATGCTAATGGAATCCTAGGGTTTATAAGTTGGGGTATAGAAAACAAAACCAAAGAAGTAATGCTAAATGTATATAAATTATTAGTTAGACCTCATTTGGAAAATTGTGTCCAACATTGGTCACCTCACTTTAGGAAAGACATTGAGGCCATAGAGGGGTTGCAATGGTTTGGCCTATGAGTGGAAACTGAAGGTGCTGGGACTTTTTCTGTTGGAAAGGGCAGGTAATTGAGACTGAAACGATGGCTCTTAAAGGAGCTGGCACAGACACAATGGGCTGAATTAACTATTTCTGTGCCATAAATTTCTATGGTTCTATGTGAACGATGTCCATTTATAATGCAATATAACTTGGTTTGTTGGCTTCCAATTTTTCCAAGGTCGGGTTTTCTAACCAACCATGAGATGGCTCCCTTAGCTTTGAAGTTTCACAAATACATATACAATTGATGCAAAGTTTATTTAGTCACTCAGACATCTAAGACACTTTTGGCAAATAAGCAAGTTATACAAACAATCAGGACTTATTAAACAATCATTAAAGCTTGGGTTGGCACACTGTTGTCAACATAAGCTTCAGAAGCCTGCAATAGATGTCGCTTGCCGTAGAAGATTTCATCCTTATGTACTCTTAACTTTGCTTAGATGTCAAGCCGTTATCCGTGCCTTGCAGTTTCCCATTCTCTTATCAGTGCGCTCATAGCTGGGTGCCAATTCTACAGCATATTTTTCTTAGAATATTTAACAGGATATTTTTCTTAGAATATTTAATGTGGTGTCTCTTTTCTCTGTGATGACTTCAAGCAAGATGATTGTCATCCCCTCTCTGTTTGACGTCCTAAGGCAGACACATCAATGAGGAGATCATACGATCCAGATTCCAAACCGTTTTGCTCACAAAATACATAGTCAATCCACTTTACAGTGTATCCTATGAAGCGCTTTGAGACGTCTCATTGACGTGAAAAGGCTCTACATCAAATGCAAGGATTTATTTATTATAAAAGGTGGAATAACAAACCATATTTTGAAAAAAAAGGTAATAGCTGTGGGTTGTAAACAGGAGACAGCTGGCCTCTTTATTTTGTGTCACTGTTTTTATTAGTGCAACCTGTCATTCTTATCTCAACATCTGCTTCAAAGTGAAGAAAATCAATATTCATTGGGCTTTCCAGTTTTCTCCTAATTAATTTCCATGGTTAAACGTTTTTTTTGTTTGATTCCAAACTGACTGATTTTCCAGGTCATATAGTCACCATGTTATTGTTAGTGATGTACCTGTCCATAGGACATGGGCAGGCGGTAAGCTTATGACACAGATGTTGTCCACTTTTGTAGTCAAAGGTGTTATTGATCAAAAATGATAATCAACAAGAACACCTTGTATTTTTACAACACGCTTCACATAGAATAGTCTCTTAGTGCGCTTCATATTTAGAGCACCAGACAAAAAGGTAGTTTTTTGGTGGGATTTAAAGCCAGATAGAGAGGAAGTGAGATGGAATGGAAAAGGGAAGGAGTCCTGTAGCATATTGTTTAGATATCTCGTTTTGCAAATGAGAAGACCTGGATTCGATTCCTGGGTGGGGTGAAACATCCGACAAGTTTCCTTACTCCACAGGCCGCTGTTAATCTAGCAGTCAGTGGGAACCTGGTTGTTAGTCGATTGGCAGATTGCTTTTCCAGGGGTAATAACCCTTTCAGAAATAAAATTTAGAAAAATAATAATTTGATCTCTCAATGCATGACAGTTTGTGGGACACTGCTGTGCGTAATTCGCTGCTGCATTTTGCCCACAAAGTATAGTCAATTGACTTTACAATATATTCTGCGAAGCGCTTTGAGACATCTCGAAAACGTGATAAGGCGCTATATCAAATGTAAGAATCATCATAATTACGAAGGATGAGAGCAGAGTTTTAAAAACTCGGCCATTGATGGTGGACTGGAGAGAGGCTACAATCACAGCTGCCAATCTGGGCTAGATTTGAGCCAACTTGATTTCTCCCCCACGTGCACGCCATGACCAGCACTGCCTACCACCACCTCCACAACATTGCCAGACTCCGCCACTGCCTCACCCCTCAGGCTGCCGAAACCCTCACTCACGCATTCGTCACATCATACCTTGATTATGCAAACTCGCTGCTCATCGGCCTTCCCAACTCTTCCCTTCCTCCAAAACTCTGCAGCTCGTGTACTCTCACCACCAGGCTCCGTGACCCTATCACTCCCACCCTCGACGACTTCAAAGGCTCCCCATCCCCCAGAGGATTGAGTTCAAGATCCTCGTCCTCACCTTTAAGGCCATCCATGGCCTTGCCCCTTCCTACCTCTCTGACCTGCTGCTCCCTACCAACCTGCCCGTTTCCTCTGTTCAGCGAGCTCTGGTCTGCTCCATGTCTCCCGTCTGACCCATCTTCCCATCGGTGGCCGGGCTTTCAGCCTCTTTGCCGCCACACTATGGAACTCTATCCCACGGTCCCTTCCCCTCGCTTCCTCCCTTGCCTCCTTCAAGGCCGGTCTCAAGACCCTTCTCTTCGATCATGCCTTCAGTCTCCCTCCCACCTCTCTGCCTTCCCTCACCACTACCCCACCGCTCCTCCATGCTCGGGCCCCGACACCTGACTGTTCAACACTTTGGTGCGTCCTCCCGATGTGAAAGGCGCTCTATAAATGTAATTTTGTTGTTGTTGTTATTAATTCAAAATGTTCACTTACTGTTCACTACTCCTACTGCTACTGCTATTACTGTTATTCATAAATTTTTATTACTCCAAAATAAAATATTAATTTGTTCAATCAGTCAACGACTGTTTGTGGGACACTGCTGTGCGCAATTGGCTGCCATGTTTAGCCCTCAAAAATATACAGTCAATTCACTTTACAGTATAGTCTTTGAAGTGCTTTGACATGTTTCAACAACGTGATAATGCGCTATATCGAATATAAGGATTGTTATTTTTATTACTGTACCACCTCAATTTTTGTTTGTTTACTTTTCATTGTATTCATTGAAAAATATGCAGTTGATTTAATCTTTCATTTTAGTTCAAATTTGAGATTTGGCTGCATTGTCACCTGCTATGTAAAACAGCAATATCTGTCTGGTGTAACTTTTCCTTGAACTCCAATTTATGATTTTATTTTAGTTCACTGCTTAGGCTGGCATTCCAGTGGTGGGAGAGCGAGATATTTTTGGAGGTGCCGTCCTTCAGATGAGATATCTAACTGAAACCCGCCTACCTGTTTAGATGGACGTTAAAGATTCCATGGCACTATTCAAAAAGAGAAGGGAGTTTCTCCCGGTATCTTGGCCAACAATCTCCCAGGTAAAATTGGTCATGCATTTCATGGCTATTTGCAGGACATTTCTGTGTGCAAATTAGCTACTTCAATCGCCTACAAAATAGATACACTTTACAGTATGTTATAATATATTGTGGAGTCCTGTAGCTCGGTGTTAGAGCACTCACCACGCAAGCGAGAGAAATGGGTTTGATTCCCGGCGGGTTGAAACCTTGGGCAAGTTTCCTTACTCCACACGCCTGATAATAATCCCTCAAGAAAAAAACGCTTTGAGATGTCTAGAAGATGTGGAAAGCGCTGTATCAATTGCAAGGATTATTATTATTATTATTATTATTATTATTATTATTATTATTATTATTATTATTATTATTATTATTATGTGAACTACTTTCAAATGACCTCCTGATGTGACAGGTGTGTTATCAAATTCAAGGATTATTTTATTATTGTTTAAATCAACAGCCAAGAGAGAGACATAAGTGTACTTTGTTTTTCTTACAGGAACAATTTGAAGATGCCTTTGAAAACATCCCAAAGTAAGTAATATGTACCTATACTTAAATTCAGGGTGGTCCACCCTTTTGGCCACCCTGGGCTGGATGCCCTATTTGAGAAAGGACCGCAGGCATTATAAGCAATATTTTGTGTTTCCCTTCCACAACCTTTTTCATGCTGGAAGGACATCTTGACACTATTGTCAATCTTTGTTGTGAAGCTCCACAAATGGATCCAGTGATTCCAAATTATAAACATTGAATCCTATTTCTCTCATGTGTCTGTCGTCTCTATTTAAAACTATCATTACTCCTACAGCCTTTTAATAGAGCATTTCTGGCATCTCAGATCTCTCCTGCCCACAAAAACATCCCTCTTTACCCTGTTTCTATCACTAATCACTAATTCTTTCACTTTCTGTTTCTATCACTGGAGTCCTGTCGTTCAGTGGTTAGAGCACTCGCCTTGCAAGTGAGACACCTGGGTTCAATACCAGGGAGGGTGAAACCTTGGGCAAGTTTACTTACTCCACATGCCTAATAATAATCCCTCCAAAACAAAAAAAAATTGGTCATTTTCAATCCACGACTGTTTGTGGAACACTGCTGTGCGCAATTGGCTGCCACGTTTCGCCCACAAATATACAGTCAATTCACTTTACAGTCTATTTGTGAAGCACTTTGAGATGTCGAGAAGACGTGAAAAGTGCTATATCAAATGCAAGGAATATTATTATATTATTATAATTAATATTCTGCAGTATGCCAGGGTGTTCAGAATGAAGAAGTAAATCTTTCTATCTTGTAGGATCATCTTCATTCAAATTGAAGATGTCAGCTGCAATACAATACAATTTACATTTATTTAGCACCTTTCACATCAGGAGAATGTCTCCAAGCACCTCACACTTCACACCAGACTCCCACCAAATCATCCATGCAGATCCTTACAAAGAATCCAGGCTAATTTTGTTGAAAAATGTTTGAAATGATGGCCTTGCTAGGAAAAGTATTTAGACAGCTAATGTACAAGTGTGCATTCAATACCGCTAGGGCTTGAGTACTGAGCTCCTAACCAGAGCTTGTAACTATTTTATAGCAGTGGACTGTTCTGTTCTTGCAATTTCATTGCATCTTGAAGAATGAATAATCAACAACAAGAGCTTGCGCTTATATAGCGACCTTCATACAGGGTAGTGTCCCAGAGCGCTTGACACCAATCACCATTGTGTAGTGAGGCTACTTGTCGCTATTCAGTTTTTGTTCTGTTCTTTTGTGGAGATGAGGAGGTGAATTCCTGCCAATGCTTATTGAGTCTGATCAACGGGTTCCTTTGCCAGTTTATTTTACAGCCTAACATTAGCCAAGGAGTATAATACACAGGGAAAGCGTTAATCAATGAGGAACATGCTTTTAGTTCAATGCCATTATGTTCCCAAAGGCTGAGTATATTAAGAATTCTCTGGAAAAATAACATGGAAGTGTTATAGAAACTGTGATTCTTCAACACGATGCCTTTACTAAAAGGGGAATATTTAAAGGTTGAAAGCCTCTTGTTGCCATGCAGCAATTGGCATGATATGTGCTCAAAAGAGAAGGGAGTTTCTCCTGGTGTCCTGGCCAACAATCTCTCAGATAAAATTGGTCATTCACTTCATGGCTGCTTATGGGACATTGTTGTGCACAATTGTGGCTGCAGGGTTTGCCTACATATATGGAGTCACTCAACTTCACAGTAAATTCTGCAAATGTGCTTTGAGACATCCTCGTGACGTGAAAGGTGCTGTAACAAATGCAAGGAATATTATTTTGATGAGCACAAAACTGCCTTTCTCTCCCCCTCCCCTGTAAGATAAATTAAACCTAAGTTTGTGACTGTAAAATAGCATAACTAGTTGAATAAGGAGAACTGAACAGAAGGACAGACAATAGAGTAGGTGGTGCACTCTACACATGTTGTGAAATGCTATTAGAATACTGTATAGTCACAGTGTAGGAGCTCAGCACATTTTTCAATCCAGTTTGCACCATCTGGTTAGTACTCAGTCTGCTGCAATCCCTTGTGTTTTCGTCACTCTGTTCAACTCCCAGATCACTGGTAATGATCTGCTGTGAATGGAGCAATACCCAACCTGCCAATTGTAGGTAAAAAGGAATGTGAGTCAGATTCCACACTCCTGATATTGAGCCTGTCTCGTCCTGTCATTTTTCCGAACCATTTCAGCAAGATCGGGCAGTTCATCTTTGTCTACGTTTTGCTGCCTCTGGTCATGAAGTTTCTTGAACAGTGACATGTTAGAATACAAAGGTGAGAAGAAGCTCCCAGTATCTATTTCTGCATGTCCTAACTAGATTGCAAGGCTGAGTTCCTTCCTCTACTCTGCTCATTGAAATACACAGATATATACCTTTTTTCTGTATGGACACTTTCCATGGTGACTATCCTACAGTATTTGCAGACCTGCAGAGTGTTTTTTTGATTCACAATATTTTGGAATGGAGAGGGATGGGAAACGAGCAGAAGTATAACAGAATTCTTCAAAGGATTAATTGACCTTTCTTTTAAGCTGAAATCTGGAGCTCTCCTCTGGGGGTTATTGTGGTCTTCTGAACATTGCCTTTTATGAGTAATAACTAATTAATAAAGGTACTGGGAAGAAATTGAATATTCTCTAAGAAAGTCCTTCCTATCTTTGTAGAAAAAAATGACAAATTGGCTAGTATTCACAGCAACTAAGAGTCCCTGATGTTATACAAGCACATGGAGGAGATATTCCACCTGGGTCTAGATTTGTTCAATTAACGTAGCATTTCAGAGTGACCAGAATTTTGCAAATTTGTAAACACAGCCTTGATTTTTCTGTACGTTTCATTTACAAACTGCAGAGAAACTGACTTTGAAGTTGAATTCAACAATTTGTCAGATTCTGGGTTTTCTAAAATGCTGTGTTAGTACAATAAACACAAGACAATTGGAAAATCAATCATCTTTCCTTAAAGCCTATTGAGAATATAATTTATTTTATAATTGACACGCTTAGATTTATAGTAATCTGTGCATTTGATATAACCTTTCACATCAGGAGGGTATTTCAAAGAGCTTCACAAGATGTACTTAATAGTGTAACGACTGTATTTTGTAGGTGAACACTGGGTATTTTGAAGCCCTGGGCTTACTGATGTACTTTTTTTTCACTTTAGCAAAACTAAGGTTGATTTGAAAATAGCTTCCGTTTCAAAAGGGGTTTTGATCTGATTGGAAAGCTTCAATGAATGTCGTTGTTGAAGTTTAGACATTGGCTGATTTGTAACTCAAATGTACTTAATTGTGATTATTTTTAGACAAAGCTGTGCTGATTAATATACCTTAACATGTTGCTTATAGCTGGTCCCTCTGAGATTGCCTCCTCTGTAGATTAAAGTGAGTCACTAATCTGTCTCATCAGGCACGAGAGATACAATTGTGCTGCTGTTTGCTGCTCCTCTTTGCCCTCATCAGTGGCCCGTACATTCAGCCATTCTGCCCCTAACGTCTGGATCCTCCTGTATCAATCCCTCCTCCTAGCCTGCTCTTCATCTACCTTTAAATCCTGGTTGAAGACCAACCTTCCCTACCGTGTATATGATCCGGTATCCAATCCTACCTCTGTGCAACGTTCCGAGTCCCTACCCTGCATGAAGTGCACTGTATAAATGCAAAAAAGCATTTTATTATTATTATTATTATTATAAAAAAGCGCTATATCAAATGCAAGGATTATTATTATTCTTAAGTTGTTCTTGATGTTTTGACCTTCAGCCTATATTCAGGAGGTAGAGTAGGTCAAAGGAACAGAATTGTCTGTCCAAAAATGAATTACATTTGGAGCATAAAATCGAGTATAACTATCAGATACTCTTTCTCCAGAAAAAAGCGCAGCAAAGACACACTTTTTAGATTTGGTGTTTCATGTGCGTTGCAAGGAATGCTTTGAAATATGAATACCATCATTGATACTAAATTCAAAGCAATGTTTCCGATTTCAAAGAGATGGCACCAAACAGACATTTCAATTGATATTCCTTTTTTGTCTAAAGACTGAATAGATTTCACAGATTTTATCTTAACATCGAAATTGGGTAAATTGGATTCAGGAACATAATTGACCCATCAGCTGTAGGGTAAGCTGGGTTTTTAAATGTTACTTATTTAAAAAAAACCTATAAACTTAATCAAAAAAATGTCTTGCATTTGAACTTTCTTGGGTCAGAGTTTCTCTGAGAACTTAGGGAGTAAAGCTCCTATGTGATACTAGACCACACAATGTGGCCATTTGCAGGTTCAAATGTTACATTAGCTGATTATTGAGGGAGCACTAGGAGTCATACAACTGACATAAAAACAAATTAGCCAAGGCACTTGTTTGCTCTCCCAATATTCCTACTGAATTTTTGAATGTAAGCATTAGGTGAACACTGGGTTAGACTGTGAAAAGCCCCTCTTTTATAATAAACCTTGCATTTGATATTGCGCCTTATCATATCTTTGTGCTGCTGGAAGCTGCCCTCCCTCCATTTCCGACCACTTTCCACCTCTAGCTCAGGCTCCCAGTTAGTCTTTGTAAAGTGCTTTGAGACATTCTCCCATTGTGAAATATACTATATAAGTCTAAATTGTTGTGCTTGAAAGAAGAAGCTGTTACTAAGTCAAATACCTTGAAGGGCGAGAGATAGAGAGAGAAAATTGGAACAGAAAAATTGGTGAGGAAACACAAACGTTGCTGGGTAACTCATTGACCGTCCTTTAAACCTTTTCTTAATTGAAAGTAAGTAAACTGGTTGCGTGACTAGCTCTTTGATAACACTGAAAAGGGAACTGGTATTCAGTGAATGGCTCTTTCCTTATCTTATGTGAAATCTATTGTGCTGCGAGAAATGTCAAGTAGGATGTCCTGGCCTAATCACTCTACAGCTAGGAGTGGTACAGAACTCCTTGTGGTGTAAATCCAGCACTAAAACAAGTGCTGTTCATGGAGCTTTGTGCATTGTGTTTAGTTACGTGT